AGCTCGGACGATTCACAAGATGAGGAGTATGAAGCGATCGACGCCGGCCAGGCACGCAAGGAAGACCTGTTCAGATTTGGCACTGCCGCCAAGCTCATAGGCGTCCAACGCCGTGCTTATGCTGAACCATGCTTGTTTGTTGAAGGAGTGCGGCGGTTTACAATTGGGAAAGTTCTGAAAGAAAGGCCTTTCTTTGAAGCCGAGGTTGTTCTACATGACGAGCCTGGTGAGAGCTTCCACCATCCTTTAAGACCTTCTTTATGCTGATTCATGGCCGGTTTCGCAGTTCCCTCCGCGAAGGACTCCGAGGTTACAGATCTTTTCCAGCACCTTAAACAACTATCTCGAGAACTCTTGGCTCTTCTGAGACTTGCGTCTCTTATACCCTCCGCGTCGCCGAGTCTCTCTCCGACGGTTGCACGCAGATTCGAGCTGTTTATCTCCCGTAAGGACCTGTCTCAGGCCGGAGTACTTGCGGACTTCATGGCGGATGTTGTTGAGTCGAGTTTTGAGGAGAAATTGCGCGTTCTTGCGTCCGTCAATATCAAAGACAGGTTGGAGCGGGTCATTGAACTGCTGAACAGGCAGGTTCAAACCATCAAGAACAATGTCAAGATCACATCGATCACAACCACAAGTTTCCCGCCAAACTCTGCGCTTGATATCAGTCAAATCGATCCACGACTGACTAGAAGGGCGATGACTGGTGTCAATGGTTTTGGGCCAGGAAACGGAAGAGGCGACGACTCGGATGAAAAGGAGCCGAATGAAATTGATGAACTTCAGCAGAGACTTGAGGAAGCGCAGCTGAGCCCAGAAGCACGAAAAGTTGCCGACAGAGAGCTCAAGCGTTTGCGCAAGATGAACCCTGTCAACGCCGAGTATGGAGTTTGCCGGACTTATCTCGAAAATCTAGCGGAAATTCCATGGAACAAAGTAACCGAGGACCAATTCGGAGCCGACACTCTCCAACGTGCGAGGAAGCAACTTGATGATGATCACTACGGATTGGAGAAAATCAAGAAGCGTCTGCTCGAATACCTGGCTGTGTTAAAGCTGAAACATTCAGTCAATGAAGATCTGGAACGCCAAATCTCACAGATCTCGGAAACTCTCAATACTTCGGCCAAGGATGGGAAGGAAGGAACTTCTGGGTCAGATGCTGAAAGAGAAAGTTTGGAAACAAAATTACAACTGTTGAAGTCGAAACGTATGATCGACAAGTCACCGATTCTGCTCCTAGTAGGCCCTCCTGGCACGGGTAAGACGAGCCTGGCGAAATCAGTGGCCGCTTCCCTGGGGCGCAAATTCCATCGAATCTCTCTCGGTGGTGTGAGAGATGAAGCTGAAATCAGAGGCCATCGGAGGACATACGTTGCAGCTATGCCTGGCTTGATCGTCAACGGCCTGAAGAAAGTTGGCGTCTCGAATCCGGTATTCTTGCTGGACGAGATTGACAAGATTGGAGGCGCCAACTTCCACGGTGATCCATCGGCAGCTATGCTGGAGGTGTTGGACCCCGAACAGAACCACAGCTTCACTGACCACTACGTCAATATCCCTATTGATTTGAGCAAAGTTCTCTTCATCGCCACTGCCAACTCGTTGGATACTATTCCGCCACCGCTGTTGGACCGCATGGAGACGATCACGTTGTCCGGCTACACCACTGTGGAGAAGAAGCACATTGCCAAACAACATCTGATTCCGAAGCAGATCAGGACGAACGGTCTTTCGGAGGGTCAAGTTCTCCTTTCCGATGAGGTAATCGAGAAGATCATCACGGCCTATACTCGGGAATCGGGTGTCCGCAATCTGGAGCGCGAGATCGGCTCTGTTTGCCGTTACAAGGCCGTCCAGTATGCGGATGCAAAGGACGCCAACAAACTAGATACATATAACCCCAAGGTGTCTGTAGAAGACCTGGAGGAGATTCTTGGCGTCGAACGGTTTGACGAGGAGATCGCCGAGAAGCACTCCAGACCGGGAGTCGTCACTGGACTTGTGGCGTATTCGACTGGTGGGCAGGGCAGTATCTTGTTCATCGAAGTGGCAGATATGCCCGGTAATGGCCGTGTGCAGCTGACTGGAAAGCTGGGCGACGTTCTTAAGGAGTCCGTGGAAGTTGCACTGACCTGGGTGAAGGCCCACTCGTTTGAACTGGGGTTGAGTCACGACCCCAATGAGGACATCATGAAGAACCGCAGTCTTCACGTCCACTGCCCATCCGGAGCTATTCCCAAGGACGGACCGTCCGCCGGTCTTGCCCACACAATCGCTCTGATTTCGCTCTTCTCTGGCAAACCCGTGCCTCCCCAAATTGCGATGACCGGAGAAGTATCTCTAAGAGGCCGAGTGATGCCTGTGGGCGGTATCAAGGAGAAACTCATTGGCGCATTGCGTGCTGGGGTGAAGACGGTGCTCCTTCCGTATGCTAACCGCAAGGACGTCAAGGATGTGCCTCAGGAGGTCAAGGATGGCCTCGAGATCATCTACGTGAAGTAAGTATCTATCAGATTAGTTTTAGTCTGAGAGGAGAACTAACGTCGTGTTATAGGCATATCTGGGAAGCGATTACCCATGTTTGGCCCCAGGCTCACTGGCCAGGCCATCAACAATTGAGCATGTTTGAAAGCAGACTGTGATGTCGTACGAGCATTGCTATCATGAATATGGCATGAATGCATTGATTTCCGTATATATTGACGAGTACGGTGTATGGTTGTCTTCGATATCTCCCCTTGTCTTGACCTATCCATTCATCCATTCATTTACTCATTTAAGTATTCAACGTTGATATTGAGATTTATATTTCATGAACCAACAATCCTTCATTCTGTGTTTTAGTTCTGTGTTTTAGTGCCTTTTTTTTATCTTCATCCATGTAATTAGTCAATTTCAATGGACACTACGAGAGCTTCACTCATTCATGAGAAGTGACACGTTCATTTTTTGTCTAAATCCTCCGTTTGAACACAAATACTCCCAGTAATAGACGATGATAGTGCGAACCCTCCACGCATCCAAGAAACGACTCAACAAGATAGGTTGGTTAATTTACAACATCCAAGAAAGAGTATATGATATGATAATGATACAGTGATCATTCCACAAAGGAAAAAGAAAAAGGAAAAAAGCAATGAGTGGAGGCCGGTACCGAGTCGAATAGAATCGCGCCTCCCCCATGAGTCTCATAATATAACAAACTCACGACTCACGATTTGATTAAGATCCCGTCGACGGGGAAGTTTTGCTGCTTTCACTTCCACTTCCGCTTCCAATTCCAATTCCGCTTGCAGCACTTTTAGGGAGGATCGCCGGCCGATCGTAATTAAGCCCCAGGGCCTGCCACGTCGGTCGCCAAACCTGCTTCCCTTCCAGCATCTCTTTGGCTTGCTTCTCGTAGGCCTCGCGCTCGGCCAAGTCCGGCTCCATGGCGGCCTTTGGTTGGGACTTGCGCTGAATTTCTTCCTGGTACTTGGCAGCCTTGTAGTATTGGTCTTTCTCCCATCTGTTTTCAATCCCAGCATGTCAGCCTAGTTCATACCAGATATGCCTCTGGACTGTGGAGTAAAGGCGAAGAACGTACGGGCTCATATCCTTTGGTGCCTCGGGCCAAATAAACGGCTCTGTCATCTCGATCGTCATCCGCTTCTTGGACTTGGGCCTCCGGAGCGGTCCGTACCCGGGTCGGCCGTCACGTCGCAGCCGCGTCACTTTCTGCTGCTCAATGTAGCTCCGCACGCTGAGCACCTTGACGCCGTACACCCGCTGCATGTAGTCACGCATGTCGAGCTTGTTGAAGTTGAGGGGCACATAGAACGAAGCATATCGGGGAGGAAGGAAGGGGGTGCGGATGAGGGCGATGGTGAATTCGGGCCTGGGTGTTAATCCTTTCGTTAGCTGATTTTCATTGCTCAGAAATGCTCAACAGCATAAAGACAATCAAAATATGGGAGTATGCTGGTACAATAGGGAGAAAGAAACGTACAGGAATACTTGCTTCCGCATCGACAAGGGCGCGTTGGGAGGCACCCAGTCGGCGGGCTTTTTGGGAAACTTGGAGAACCTCCGCACCATTTTTTCTCAATTGATTTTTAGTATCTCAATCGAGAAAAATAAATGGATGGGATGAAGAAAGAAGGTGGATTCTGTATTTGAATTCGACGGATGTTGAAGCAGTGATAGTAGTAGGACTTCGGCTCCCGGAAGTTTTGCTGCAGCGGAGAAAAGTTGCGTGGTTGGCCGCCTCGGACGCCGTAGAAAGTCCATCGCCGGCATACAACACACTATAGATTAAGATACAGTTCACAGATTTAATTAAATCAATTTATGAAGTCTACGATAGGAATTTAATTATCAAGTTGGTGGAATTAAATTCATGAATGTTCATTATCATGAGACTGGTATCAATATCCATCGCGAAGTGCCATCATCAGAATTACAGCATGTGCCGACGGGCTGCACTACCCAAGAGAGTCCGATACCTTAAGCTCGCTCAGTTTCCTGGTGTTCGCATCAGCGTCGTAATCCGTAGACTTCTCTTCGTCCCTGTAACTTTGGTCTTTTTCTTCATCTTCATCATTCTCAGCATCTGAACCTTCATATTCTTCACCGTCATCGTCGTCTTCCTCATCGTCGTCATCTTCACGCTCGGCTGTCCCATTATCACCATCAACTCCAACCTCTTTCATATAGGCTTCGAGTTCACGGGCCATCTTCTTAGAAAATCCAGACGCTTCCACCTCTACATCCAATCTCTTCCCCGGGTTCTGGAGAAGTTGCTTTTTTGCATCTGCAAAGAAGGGCCCAGGCTCGTCGCTCGTAAAGTGGAATCTCCTCTGGAAGAACCTCTTGATGCAATTGACGTCGCGGTCAAAGTACATTTCTGCGTTGGGGTGATCGATGGAAACCATCTGCGGGAAGTCGATGAGAACAGGGACCAGCTTGATCCCTTCGTCACTCTCTGCGTCTTCGGGTGCTTTGCCCTTCGCCTTCGGATCGGGCTCTTCCTTGATCAAAATGTTGAATTCATTGAAATCACCATGGATCAGGCCATATCTGGCCAGCTTCAGAATCATGTCCATAAGCTCTGCGTATAGGAGAGCAGGCTTGGGGACGCTGGAAATCTGGCGTAGCGGAAAAGCGTCAATCAGACTCATGACGATCGTATGTCTGTTCTGAGCAATAGGCTCCGGCACCGGAAACCCATTCTCCTTAAGGGCCTTCATGAAGGCAAACTCCTTCATTGCGGCCAATCGCGACATATACATCCATGACCCCGTGCTTCGATGCCGTAGGTAATCGCGATTCGTCTTGACACTGCGGAAGGAGATCCGACCGAGGCGATGAATCTTCAAGATGCGTTGAGCACCAGTCGTGTCTGCGACAACAATGATATCAGATTCCTTCCCAACACCTATCCGGTTTCCGACGGAGTATATGTTCTTCTGCTTCTGATGGGTATTGAGGGCCAAATAGTCAAAGCCGCCATAGGTAAGCCTATACCCGTCGTCTGGTAGGTCGAAAGACCAAACTATTAGCACAAAATTCTACTTTATTCACGATTGTGGACCGTTTCTTCACATACATTTCGCGTCCTTCACCTTCGCTATAAGATTGATTTTCGCCAGATTAGAGATGCATTTATGGACGCCGCTGCCACTTCGCAGACCCGATAGCTGCACTATCAAAGGGGTGGGAACAACTTCGTGATTCCTACTCCCTGTCTCAACCTACATTGCTCTTGTTAGCCGGTCAGACGACTCGCCTCGCAAAGGGACCGATGGAAGGCGGGGGAGGGGCATACAGCAGTGAGCACTCGAAAGTCCTCGTTTGTGAGGTAGCGCATCGCCTTTGGATCGAGCTTCATGTTGGGCTCTTGGAGATTATTCTCCTAATAATTCCAAAGAACCCCAGGTATATCTTTAGAAAAAAGCTGCTTCAATAATCCTGTACAAAGGTTGAAGCTCGTGTCGGCAACTATCTAACGGGGTCCCCGGAAAAAAAAGTGACGAATTAGCCCTAAGCCCTAGTTACCTTTTCAAGCTAACATAGAGGACTGCCCGAGGTATCTCCGTAACTGGATAAAGAGAAATTTGTGATCAGATCTTATGAAACGCCCATAAAAGCCAATTTATTACAATCAGAATAATGATATGAGTTCATAGCTAAGCATTGTTCAATTCCACCCCAAATCGTTTCCATCGTTTCCATCCTTAAAGACGATAATCTATCTTATCTGCATACAATACACGGAAATCCAGGCTCAAGGCGGATGAGCAGATTTTGTTTCTGTGCAAGAAGCACACATTATATGTCCCAAAACTCTTATGGGCATTATCAACCCAGCCACACTCGAGAACCTGACCAACCCATCCGCGCAATACAACCCTTCGAACCCATTAACCCAGGCATTCCATACCGTACACTTACGCCGAGCTCACCCACTCAGGATTCTGTCAAATATAGTTAGATATTTCTGTAACGGAAATAGAGAGAGTTGATATTTACCTTGCGCAGGATCACCAAGCCTTCAAGTGTGGGGCTAAGAGGAATATACTCCTCATCTTCCAGCTCAGCTCTTTCTCCATAGCTAAGAAGCACAGGCGTGCTCTGGGTTTGCCATCCAGTAATGGTCTTCGGGCGGCCAGCTTGCCCAACCACGTCCACTGCCTGACCCACGCGAACATTCACGGTCAGTGGCTGCAGATTCTCATCAAGGGTCACGAGGAATCGTGGATGCATGGCTGTGATGAGGAAGTAGAGGAGATAATGATGCTCGGCGAGAATGAATTGTTTGGCGTCAATCATTGCAATCAGCACCGTAAGCAGTCCCGCAGCGGCCACCCTCGAGAGCACCTGGCGATCGGTATGGAACGGGTTGACGGACAGGGTACCTTTGCCCATGTGCAGCAGACCCTGAGCAATACGGACCATGAAGAGAGAATTCTGATCACGGTGGTAATAGCTGGCAAGCTGTCGCAAAAGTTGTGCCAACCGAGCATTGTTTGTTCCAGCGCCGGTGAGACCCATCGCGAAGATCGCGTTGATCGCAACGTCGTTGTCAGTATCATGACTGTACCGGGACAATGTATCGTAGACTTTCATCTGAGGGTTACTGGGGCTAACCAGCCCCATTGCCAGAGGAACCGCTTTCCGGATATTGCTAGCACCATAATGCATCAGGTGGCCGAATTGCCGAAGAATCATGTCTTGGCCAACCTCCTCTCCCATGGCAATAAGGGACAAGCCCAGGACGGCGTAGGACTGCACCAGTTCGTCACCTTTCTTCTCTTCCTTCTCTTCAATGTAATCATTGCAAATGTGAAGAAGCTCTTGAAGCTTCAGGACTGTGCCAGTACCAGCCCAGGCGCAAACGGAGGCAAGGACGGAGGTTGGCTTGGCCATGGGGTGGTCAACAGCCTTGAGAATATCCAAGATGACATCCACTTCCTCTTGTCGACCAAAGTAAAGGAGGGCCAGACCAAGGGCCATAAATCTCGTCCACTTGTCTTTGAGTTGCTTCTGCCTCTCCTCGTCCATGAGTGTCGTGGCAATAGCCTCGGAGACCTGATGGTTACCAGAACCGACGAAGATCAGGCCCAAAGAAACTGCTGCCATTGCAGAGAGCTGCATGTCCAGAGAGACATCTTCCACAATCGGAAGAAGAATTTCAAGAAGTTCTTCCTTGTTTGATCCCGCGTAAGACAAGCCCAATCCCATAATGCAAGCCACTCGCGTCTGGATACTCTTGCTTCCGAGATTGTCTGGGTCACCAAGGAGGGCTAGGGCAGGGTCGGAATCCAATCTGACGCCTGAGTTGAGAATGCCAATTCCAAGCAACGCTCCAGCTTTGATTTGGTCCTCCTGGGCGTATGTGAACTTGTCGATCTTATCCAACCCTTCCTCGACGTCCCTATGCAAAAGCATACCCATCGATGCAGTGGTCGACATCATACCATCATCCTTTGTCTTCCAGACCCATGGACCTTTGTCGCCTTCGACCAACATCATCTTGTCGTTTCCGAAGCCCGCGTTGGCGAAGGCATTGACGAAAGCACTCGCGAGATTGTGTCGCGCGGAGTCAACATTAGTCAGCCCCGCACCCCTGCTGCTCTCCAAATGGGTTTTGTATATGTCTTCGGGCATCTTTGGATCGAGAATGTTGAGTTCCTTGGCCAGAGCCTTGAAGTGTATAGGGATCTGGGTGTTGTTCAGACAATCCATCAACTCTTGATCATCCTCCTCCTCCGAAGACAAGTCAAGCCAGATTTGCTGCCGAGCAACAAGGAAAGCCATTTGCTTCTTAAGTGCCTTGTCATTCGTGGCGTTGAAATCGCTCTTGATGAGATCGATGTCATTCAGACGAATGGCGATGACGATGGCCTGGGCAAGCTTGTTGTAGCGAACGTAGATATCGTGAGCAGTTCGGAGGAATTGCTGGTCCTCGGGGTAGGTAAGCAAATTGACCATGCTGACCATATATAAGCAGACCCTTGGATAGGTGTTTTCATCCACGAAGCGCGAGATTTCCTCGATCATCTCCAGTTCGCTGAGCAGGTCGACGGCATCGGCCTCGGCGTTGTGACTCAGGAAGTATGGAACCAGAGACAGGGAGAGATCGATCAGGTCCTGGACATCTTTTTCCTCCGTCACCCGGTTCTGGTATTCCTGTCCGATTTCCAGCGCTAGGTGTCTGATGTATTCATGGCCCCACGAACCCAGGTCGTCTGATTTGGCTAGGAGGCGGTATTTGAGGGTCTCCAGCTTGTCCTCAACCCCATACGTCATGCCCAAGACAGACAGCATATCTGCCAGCGAGTCCTACAACATCCCTTTAGCCGATGCCGATACATATTACCATTCTTCCATAACTCACTTTGTCAGGCCCAGCGGGCCACTGATCATAGAGCGCCGTGAGCTCATCGTAATGAGGTCTGAGGAACTTCAATGGCTTTGGGACAGCGGTCATAGATGAGGTAGACGTCTTGATAAATGTCTTGATGGCATCTAAGGCGGGTCGATATAGGGAAGTATCCGGTTCCTAAAGATGAAAACACAAAAATCAGCGCGGAACCGCACGTGAGCTGCGCACCAGCATACCTTTAACCGCTCAACGAGCATCTCGAGCTCATTCTTGAGCTGCTGATCTTCCTCACTGAGTTCCTCTACATCGAATAGGCCGTTAGTATCCAATCTGAAGTGTGCGAAGGGTGGGACGACCGAGCAGGCATGGCATGCTTGCTCCAAGTGCTGGCTTACCTTCTTGAGGTTCCTCGTCTTTCTTCCCATCCTTCTTTCCACGTGTCTTTTCATCCTTGATGTCCTTCTTCTGTCCATTCAACTCTCGAGCATCGTCTACTTTGCCCTTGCCCTTGTCAGCGGCCGTGGGCCGCTCGCCTTCTTTCGCCATTCGACGGAAACTCTGACGGCTAGCTGACGAATATGCCGGATGGATAGAAAGGGCTCCTTGACCAAAGAAGCAGACAGGGCAGGTCTAATCCGGCCCCGAAAAATAGAAGTATTGGTGGACGTAGACGGGTGCGATGAACGATGTGGTGGGAGAGGTGTAATGCTGGGGGATCAAGGCACCCGGAGCTTTCGTTGCTTGCTGTCCAGCGCCCGCGGTGGAGCTGCGACTCCTCGCCGATGCCTCGCAGAGTGCTAACTAACGTAATCAACCACCGAGCGACGAATACCACCGAGCGACGAATTTTCGCCGCACCCACTATAATTTTGAAGCTTTTCAACCACCAATACAATTAAATTAGACTATCTAGTAGTTGAATATATAGCTATTTATTAGGACAATTCCTTATGGTATGTCCAATAGTCCCACAGCCACTGCAGCGTTGTGGAGCTCGCCGTTGAGGCATAGGTGTAGGCTCATCAAGCTTCTCATTAAGCTGCGTATCAAGCTGCTGAATGCGATTTTGGCCTTCTTGTACAGATAAAAGGGTATCATTACCTAGAATAGCACGCCTTCTTGCCTTCTTTCTAGTTTTCCGCTCAGTCTCAGCTCGTAGAGTCCTAATTTCATCTCGAAGAAGAAGGTTCATATTCATTGCCATCTGCGCGGCCTTTTCAAGATGATGAATATGAGACATTGGGCTGCTAGAAAGCTTTTGCTTTCTTGCACTAAGGCTTTTTTGCAAGCTGCGAACCTTGTGATCCAGCTGGTGAGGATTCTGAGGAGTTTGAAAAGCAGAGGAGACTGAACTTTCAACTGAAGCTGGTGGTGTTGGCGTACGAAGCTGAAAGGTAATCTTTGCAAGAACCCGCTCTTTATCAAGTGGCTTAAGTCCAGCTCCTGCAAAGCCTTTGCATATATTGTCTGGAGTAAACACTTCTGCACGAGCAGATGGATATAGGGATAGAAAGTCTTCTTGTCAATATGGTTGTTGCCAGCAATCATTCTCT